TTCTTTTAAAACATACATTTGCTTTGATTTCCTGTGTAGTTGAGGTGACTCACAACCAAATGAGATACTCTATACTTGTCAACAATTCTACATCATGATATATCTTTTACTTTAATTCCATACATCATAAGAAGTGTGGAGTACACACACACACACACAGTAGAAATGAATGCCCAAGGTTCAAAATATAAAATGTAACATGGTAAAGTGTGTTTTTCAAATGAAAAACCAAGAAAGGAAGAAATTAAAACAGGAGCTATTTCAATAAAATAAAAGCAACAGAAACTCCAAATACACAGAGGTAAAGGATCAATATTTGAGGAAAAATCAACTTTAAAAAAAATCAATGTAAAGTTATTGAAGGAAAGGATGGTCACATGAATAAAGGAGACTTCAAACAGAAAACGAAGGTGAGATGGCCACAGAAATAGAATAGATTTAAGCACTGAGTTGCAGAATGCCAACTCATAAGGGGACAAAAAGGTTATATGCTAGAACAACATTGAGTGTATGTGGTAAATACAGCAGAATCCAATAAAAGCAAAATGATCGTGAAGGTGATTTTCCTTTTACAGGAGACTGGTTTGAGTGGGATTTTGTGGAGGTGGGGGTTGGTTGTGGGGATTGGGGAGTGTTTTTTGTGCATGTAAGATGTGACCAATGAATCTATCTTTTCTTTTATTGCAATTTAAAAATTAAAAAAATGCTTAAAATGTCTTTAAGAAGCTGACATATATATATATGATAGATATAATGACAATGTCTTGCCTGAAGGACAGGAGATCTAACAAACAGCATGATTTCTACCGCAGTGCAGTATCAATACTAGGTACAACTTCTACTTGTAGGACAACCAGTGTAACTCCAAAGTAACTCCCCTTTGAGGTCAATACAGATTTACAATGCTTTAATAGAACAGAATTTGGTCTCTAGTGTGAAATTCACAAGAATATTGTTTGGGAGGAGGATTTACAATACACTTAAGTTTTTAATTCTGAATATTTTACTTCATCAGAACACCATTAGTTTCACACTATAAAATTATCCCCACAATCGAAATGGCAAGGGATGGACAAATTGGCTTAGGCAAAATAAGAACCAGACTAAACTTTTGCCCATTCCCTGGACCGAGCCTTTTTCACTGAAATCCCATTTCCAGGAAAATCCAAGATATTGACTACAGCACCGAGCCTTTTTCATCTCCACCACAAAGGTTTCAGAAATGGAAGTCACTGAAATCCAAGTTCCAGAAAAGTCCAAGAGAATGACTGCAGCAGAGACCAGTGCACAAGGGTGAAGCCAGTACAGTCCTGCCATAGTTAATGAGACACTGCTGGTAGCAGAAGTTGAGAAGAAGATAACAAAGATAAATGTAGGATGATACACTTAGGGAAGAAAAAACAAGTGCAAAAATACAGAATGGGGGATAAATTCTTGGCAGCAACATTGCTGAGAAGGAACTGGGAGTTGTGGTGGATCACCATCTCAACATGAACCAGCAATATGATGCTGTTGCAAAAAAACAAATGCAATTTTAGGTTGCATTAACAAAGGCATAGCATACAAATCATGGGAAGTGACAGTACCGCTCTACTTGGCTCTAGTTAGGCCTCATCTGGAGTACTTTGTTCAATATTGGCTACAGCTGTATAGAAAGGATGTAGAGGCAAGTGACAAAGATGATCAAAGGGATGGAATGCAAGCCATATGAGCAAAGGCTTAAGGAACTGGGTATGTTTAGTTTGAACAAGAGGAAATTAAGGGGGTTCATGATAGCAGTCTTCAAATACTTGAAAGGCTGCCATAAAAAAGATGGAGAAAAGTTGTTCTCTCTTGTCACAGACGGTAGGACAACAGGGAGTGAGGGTTCAAACTACAGTGTAGCAGATTTCGATTAAATCTCAGGAAAAACTTCCTAACTGTAAGAACAGTAGTACTATGGAACAGACTGCCTAGAGAAGTCATGGAAGCTACTTCATTAGAGGTTTTCAAAAGGAGGCTAGATAGCCATCTGTCTTGGATGGTTTAGACACAACAAATCCTGCATCTTGGCAAGGGGTTAAAATAGATTACCCTTATGGTTCCTTCTAACCCTACGATTCTATGATTCTAAGAAAGGGCCATCAGAGTGGGAGTGGATTCTAGGGAATGTGAGTTTTCCATAGAGCATCCACTACAGAACATGACAAGCAGGAAAAAACTCTTGCTTGGTGAGGAAGATGGCCTTGCGTTCAGACAGACAATTCAAGAGGGCACCAAGAAGGGATGGTTCTGAGTTTTAGATAAGCTTCTGAAATTTTGAATCTTTATCCAAACTTTCTTCCATGACAAAAACTGGACAAAGTTTGGGCTGCATTGGCCTCCCTCCCCAATTCAGAGCTCCCAGATCTGGGAATAAGTTAATGTAACCATTTAAACGGCTAATCCTTGCGTAGCTGCTTCTTTCCTAACTTGGCTTTTCCTGTTCATGTTAAATGTTATTGGTCAGATGCAATATGTTACATAGGCTTTGAACAAAGGTAATTAACTCCCTTACACCATTTTTTCCTTAAAGAAGTCATCTTGCTTTTTTTTAAAAGGCAAATTCAAAAGATAAATATTTTACAAGTTCACAGTAAATCAAAACAGAAGGCTATAAAAATGAATTAAATGAAGATCAGAGAACAGTAAATTGATCAATGGAAATGAGTAAAACAAAGGGAAAGTGTAAAAGACAGAAAAAATGAAAAGCAGCAGCACTGTAGAAAATGGAATGTAGTGAAAGATTATCTCTGTGACACTGGGAATTGATTTCTCTGACAGTGAGAACAGAATAATAGAGCACTAAGAAATCACTACTCTAAAAGCCACAGTTTTAAATACCGCATGTAAGGTAAGTCACTGTCTATCAATTCCGTCACTCACATTCTGCAAGTGGTTCGTGGGGAGACCAGACAATCATCATATTATGTTAGAATGTTGATTATTGTCCCCTTTGATTTCTGTCATTTAAAAGTTTCTCTGTTTGTCACATTTGCCAACGGAACAAATTGCATTTTGAAGGCAGCTAACTGCTGATACAAAGGAAGACTTTACCATTTTGAAAACTCAGATATAGAATAAAAAATAGTTACAATGGAAATCTGACAAAAATAATTTTTCCAGTTTTTTATTGCTGTTTCTATGCTTGAATCTGCAGAAGTAGTTCCACTGAAGCACACATCTCAGGGTAGAATTTGTCCCTTAATATTTTAGCAAAAAAAACCAGCTACAGTTATTTTAAACATTTCTCTTGGAAACAATAGGAACATGCATGCATTTCCAGGCTTTATGGTCTAGTATAGGGGTTGGCAACGTTCGGCATGTGGCTCGCCAGGGTAAGCACCCTGGCGGGCCGGGCCAGTTTTATTTACCTGTTGACGTGGCAGGTTCGGCCGATCGCGGCCCCCACTCGCCGCGGTACGGTGTCGTGGACCAATGGGGGCGGCGAGAAGCGGCGCGGGCAAGCGATGTGCTGGCCGCGGCTTCTCGCTGCCCCCATTGGCCCGGGACGGCGAACCGCGGCCAGTGGGGGCCGCGATCGGCCGAACCTGTCACGTCAGCAGGTAAATAAAACTGGCCCGGCCCACCAGGGTGCTTACCCTGGCGAGCCCCGTGCCGAACATTGCTGACCCCTGGTCTAGTGTCTGCAGTCTCAGTCCCTGAAAGTTTTGTTGGCTGTTATGACTTGTGAATTCTTCACAAGTAGCCTCTAACTTGCAAACATCTGCACACAAAAAAGCCCAGTCACACAAACATTCAAAACCTAATGTTTTTGCAATTGCTAAGGACTGCATACATTTTGGAGAATAAAAGCAGCATTAAAATGTATTAAGGTTATTTCAATGATGTACTGCATATATAGATGCCTTTAAATCAAAATCCAATATACCATCCCCCTTCACATTTAGTGTATTGAGATAACACATCTATAAAGTACATAGAGCCAGTTTCAGCCTCATAAATAAATCTCCACTCCTGAAGTGAATAATCTAAACTTTTAACCCTCTGTCACGTGGCTTCTGTCTCTGTTACTGAAATTGGATTGGAAGAAAGGCATTCCTTATCTTATTTAGCATTTTAATGGGGAACAGTATGAAAAAGATCATGATGATGGATAGGGAAGAATAATCAGCAAACCAGACATTGCCATTATGAGACCCTCCATAGACCTGATTCTCCTCTCACCTGCACCAGTGAAAATCAAATGCAACTCAGCTGAAGTCCATGGACTTCCACCAGTATAAAAGTGGTGTAAATGTAGAAGGAATTATTTCCTATGTCTCATATTTTAGCTACAGGATATTCATGTTGTTATTTACAATCCAAGAAAGAATGGCAAAACATAAATCCTGTACCATTTCTCATATGTCTACCATCTTGAGTCATGATACAAGATATTTGAGTTAAACTGGATATCTAGTGGCCTTGGAATAAATGTTTAAAGCTCTTCATTCCTTGACTTCCCTCATATTAACTCAAATCCTCTCCTTCCTCCCTAAAGGATGCATTGTAGGTATTTCTAATTGTCATTGTTTTAAAAATAAAAGTAATGTTTACTTTACTGTTTTACATGTGCAAAAGATTTCTACTTTGTTCTGAGGTGTCTTAGAGAAGAGAATGATCAAAGTGACTTTTTAACTTGTGTGAGTAATTTGCTTTTAACTTGAGGTTTTATCCATCAAGTTTCAACCCAGGCTGACTTTGTTTCACAGCCAAGTTATAAAATATAATGGAAATACCACAAGTTTCCTATAGAAAGAAATAACCAAGAACTGCTCAAATACTATGGAGGCAGTTAGTAATAACCTACTAGGATCAGTTGCCATTCATTCCAATTTCCTTCAACGTATTTGGGAGTCTTGTTTGTGCCCTAAGCAGTGTCTGATAGTACTGGAAGGTTTCAGATTCAATTTCAGAAAGTATATTAACTGCCAAAAATGATACAAACACAGACACACAAAGTGCATACATTGACTTACCTCCAATATGATAAGCACATAAACGCCTGCTAAGATGACTGATGCAATTGTTACTTGTGTCTCTATATTTGCATGAAGGTACTGATGCTTCATGGAGAGAGGAACAATTTCAGACTCCTGTAGGAAAGCTTGAATGTTTATGGAGATTGCATTACTGTAGGGAAAAAAGAAAAGTTCTGCTTCCTTACAGAATGAAATAGCAACTGTTATATTTTTTTTTAAAATACTGTAAAATTGTTTCATTAGTTAAAATAAAAAATGTAAAGCAACTTTTACGATACTTGAATACCAGATTGTAAATGCCAGGTCTTGGAATGTAACTTAAGTCCAAGACGTGGATAGGATGATCGTATTGTAATTACTTTTAAAAAACTAGGAAAGTTTATATTTTACTGACAGTCTGAAGAATTACAAAATGATGGAATTTAGTAGTTTTGTTTAAAGAAAAGAAAATATATTTTCATAGCATTCAAATAATCAGTTTATACAAACTTTTATTACAGTTGGTTTCTGCCAACCTGTTAAGTATCTCAAAGATTCTAGTTGTGATAACTTGCTCATTTCGTCTTGAGTTTAAAGGTAGAGTCCAGTTGTATAAGACCTGCAAGAGATTCAATTTAACAACACCAGTAATTAAAGATCAGTAAAGGTGGTGCATGGCTCTGTTCAATTTTTCTACACATTTTTATTTTGGTGTCTACACAGTTGGGTCTAAATTCTGGTATACACCCAAGATGTTTGGAGATCATTGACCAATGGAAACTGCAGCCAGAATTTGGTCCTTTACATGGAGAAATGACTATAAAGAACTCAGGAAAAACAGCTTCTGCAACATTATATATTGCTGCACACTGGTATGTGGGCAAGTTATCTGAATGCATACTGGAGTGTGTATTTCAAATATGGGTGCAGAGATTCTCTCTCTTTGGAGCCAAAAGGGATTTAAAGAGACAAAGTCCAGTTAAAAATCGTAGCCCAGATTCTTCATTCCTGCTCTGTCCCCTTGTCTCAGACTAGCAGCACAAAGAATAAAAAAAGCAGTCTTAAACACCGAGCTGGGGATACCTTTGGAAAAGGAACCCCTGGTGGCATAAAGTCAACATAGATAATTTTTAGCTACCTGCCCCCGCCCCAGTGTCCTGGGCAGTCCAGGGAAGTGTCCAGCAAGAGGTGGGTGGCTGGAGCAAAATGTACTCTGGCTATTCCAAGTTAGCAGAAAGATCTCTTGGGGATTGTTACGGTTTGCACAAATTATAGCATCCCTCCCATCAGTAAGAAAGGCTGGTTTAACACTACAATTACCTCGACAACATTGTGCCCAATGACGTTACCTGATGAGCTAATGGACCTGCTTTTATTAACTTATAAATAGTAACCATGAGTTTGTATGAGTTACAATGCTGATGATTAAGGTGTGATGCAACAACAAATCAAAGGCCAACCATATACACAGAATCACCACACAAAAAAGTAGGTGTCTGTGGTCATGGTTATTTTTTAAACTATGTTGCTTCTTTTTATTTTCATGTATTACACATGCAGAGAGATTAAAACACTTTATAGTACTCTGATTTGTCTCTCCCTTCAGTTAATCATCTCATTTTTTATGAAATCTGTTTGCATAAGTGCAAAAAAGCACCTTATGTCTGTTTCTTCATGTGCTTCTTTCCCCCAAAACCCTCTAGCCATATTTCACTAATTTGATTTCTTTTTAGACAAAAGCACTTGTATGTTAAGTGTCAGGTCAGAGGAAATTGTCCCCAGAACTCATTAAGTTCCAAAAAGAGGGGTTAAATGCAATGTTGTAAGGTCAAGTTAAAATGTAATTTTACTATTTACTAATAACAACATAGCTAATGCCGACATCAATGTACATTTCACAGCAAAAACAAAAATCCATGTAATGTTGATGGAGATAACCCAGTATCAGTAAAAGAAAGGAATCTCAAAAAAAGACGTGACACAAAATTTCCCAAAGACAATGATATGTGAAAACCATAACCTGTGGCTGACGTCTCCTTCTAGATCCAGGGTCTTCTATCTGCCCAATTTGCACTACTATGTATTCCTCTGCCCGCCGATCAACCACATCTGCTGCAAAAGGTCCTCCTAGTTCTAACTTCAGCAGAGCGGATTCACGAAAATCTGTAATATTCATAGCTGATGGAAAACCCGTTAAGGGTTAAACTTCCAACGGTAGTTATATAGGATTACACGTTATACTGAAATACAGGATATTACTGAACTCAGAGACAAAAAATGCAATATGAGGCAGTCTCTCAAATTCAATCGAAATTATTCTCAGAACAAAACCTATGTAAAAAGATTCCCACCCTGAGAAATGCAGCTGTCAGGGAGCAATTTTTTTTTTTTTTAAACTGTGGTGCTAGAAGCCCACTTCTGGAGCGGCTGGGAACTGTGAATGTGGGAGGCAACTGTATCCCCACTCTTTCCAGTTTAAGTTAAAGGCTATTTTGTTGCTGTAAACTTGCAACTAGATGGAAAAGGAAGTCAATCTTGTCAGGAACTAACAATAAACAACATTTCCACCAATTACAGGTGTCATGACCCACAGCTCCTGAACCCAGGCCTGTAAGGGTCATGGGAAAAGTCACACCTCCTGCTTCCTGCACGCTGCTCCTGCTTCCCCAGGTTGATTTCCTGGCATCCCAACCCAGCTTGACTCCAGACATCTGACTTGTGGTGCCTAACCTCCAGTTTGTCTCCTGCCTCTGACACCCTGGTATCCTGACCTGGCCTGACTCTAGTTCCTGAATCATGGTTCC